TACAATCATTCATGTCCATTTTGAGGCAAACAGTTTTAACCTCAAATTTACAATGAATTGCAATTAGCTTACTAGATGTTCAGATCTTCATTGAGGGAGATTGCAATATATGCTCAACTCTCTTTAGAAACCCATCCTCCGGTAATACCATCTTACATGCTACCAGCTCTAACCACCCGGCACCCTTGGTATCAAGCATACCTTACAGTCAATACCTCAGTTTAAAAAGGAACTGTACTAACCAAGAGGATTTTGATGTGGAAGCTAGGGCCCTTCAAAACTGGTTTTAAGAGAAAGGGGATACAGTAAGTCATGCCTCAAAAAAGCCTATCAAAGAGCCAATGGTCAGGATAGACAATTGTTGATGTTTCATAAAAAGAATAAGATTAAACCTGATACCCAAAATGTCAGGGAATTGCAAGATATTCTATGCAGCACAGAGAGGTTCATCAAAAATTGAATAAATATTGGTACTTATTAAGGGCAGATAGTACAGTATCCAAATATGTGAAGAACTATTCAGAAATAACTTAGAGGTCCTCATATATCAAAGATCAATTAGTTCAGAACCATTATTCAACAAAACCTCGGAGTAGATCTAGGAAAGTTGGTACAGCCCCTTGTGGGAGATGCAGCTTTTGTAGATTTATTCCTCAAGCATATCAAATTATTTTACCTAATGGCCGCATGTATACTCCAAGATTTTTTGCTAATTGTCAAACGTGTGGCATAGTATATCTCATGAGATGTGAATGTGGTGCTTTCTATATAGGAAAAATCAAAAGACCTTTTTTTTCAGAGAGTTCGCGACCATGTAGCATTAATCTTCAAAAAGAAAATGGAAACACCTATCAGCCGACATGTGGGCTTGAAACATGGTTTTGATCTAGCTAAGATTCAGTTTTTTGCTCTGGACCAAATACCTCCACATGAACGTGGAGGTGATGTTGGACTCGATGAGTCCATTAGCTTTAAGCTCTTCTTATAGACAAATGGCCTTGGTACTGTTACGGTGCATTTGTTATAGATTAAATACTTTAATGCTGTCTCAATTAAAAAATAAATCAATGATTTTGAAATTGTTATAGTTTGATATTATTCATTATGATTCAAATACAGCTCATTGTAATATTGTTGTCGATGGTGGTTTTTGTGGGTATACTTGAGGGGGTTGTTCAATTTATTCACCAGGTGAGGGTGCTGTAGATGCCAAATGGATACAAGTACAGCGAGATTAAATGTCTTTAATGAATATGGGCCTATTTATTTGGCAATATATTATGTTTTGTCCATCCAATATCTGTTTTCTTTTTTTCCTCTTCCCCATCGCTCTCTTTCTTTTTTGACAATAGGGGAAATTTGGAGAGTCTTTGAATTGTCATCACCTGGGGGCGCTATCCAGGAGGGAGGTGCCCCTTTTTTGGGGTAGCGCACTCTATTGGGTCCTGTTTAGCCACAAGGTTCAAACTTTTCAGCTTGTTGGTTCGCTTTCGTGAACCCTGTTTGGACTCTATGTGCTGTTAGGGCAGCAGTGGATGTTCCTTAATGGCGCTGAAGTGCTCCGGTGCATGCGTATGACTTCCCTTCCAGCAAGCTTGTGCGCATGTGCTGGCCCATTTCGGGCGTCCACACCTGGCCGGTGATCACCGGCAGGGTGGGAGGGATATTTCAGCCAACTGAGGCTAGCTGTATGCTTGCTATACCCAGCTCTCCTGTGACCTCTCCAGTATATGGTAAGGAAGTGTAAGGATGGACATTTTCTTTTTTTGTGGTGTTTGAGTTGATTTGTTTGAGTTGATTAGATTTTTATCTTCTTTTTTTCTGTTAATCTGAAGGTCTATATGACTGTTTGGTGTGGTCCCCCTTGTATGCCTTGAGGCATTCAGTTACCTATATCAAACTCTGGATTGTTTTGAGGCAAGTTAAGTTTTTCTTGGACTCTTCAGCTCCTTTTGGTAGGTGTAGGACATTTTGCCTGTTTAATACATTGACATATATTTTATTATATTATTTTTTTTTCTATGCTGTATTGAGATGTTGATATTTGTTAGTAGGGAGATCCGTATTGGTGGGTTGCAACCCTTTCCCTATTTTAGTTCATCTTGGACTCCCCTGGAGATATAGAAGTGGATGCTTTTGTGCTGGGTTTTCCATATATGAAGATACACCTGGTAAGAACAGCCTTGGCAGGTTAGCCCTATAAAAACCTATATTTAGTAGGTGTAGTCATTATGTATGATTATGATGAGTTTGATATCATTTTTTGTAACTTTGTAAATAAAATTGTTTGTTATATTTTAGTTTTTTTCTAGTGGCAATTATATGAAACTATCTGTAAATCTCCTGAAGAAGCCAGAACACTGGCGAAACATGTTCAGTTCGAATTGTTGCATTGTAAACTTTTGAAGTATCATGTTGGTTTTAAATTTCTTACAACTACTAATGTGATGTAGTTTTTTTCATATGAAAATATGGAGTAAAGCTTTGTATGATTTTAGTACAATGTCAAGCATTTGAAATTTGTTGAACACCTTAAAAATCCCCACTTTTTTGTACAATGTTGTGTATACATTCGTCCACCTATGAATATTTTATTCAACAACTTAAAAAATGGACATGTGGAAATTGGATGTATTACTGATGTAAACAGATGTAAAAGCATTTAGTTTTGATGCTTTTTTTTTGTCAGTTTCTGTGGCAAAACTGACGACGCTGGTGTGAAAGGGCCCCGATTGTAGATTTATATTTTTTTCATGAGTAAAATATTTTTACTTTCCAAAAAGCACATAGATTGACAGGGTTAACAGGAAAAAAAAGCATTTAATCAGATCAATGGAGACATCCAGCTGATTAATGCAATGTAAAAGACCAAGCTAGCTTGTAGCATAACCTGATCAGAGGCAATAACTGTCTCCGCTGTGATGTACACAGATAAGGCAGAAGGTAATTACTGACTTTATTTCCAGAGCCAGCATGGCATAGTTCATAATGCATTTGAAAACTCAAAAAAAAAAAAAAAAAGATGGTGATAAGAGATAAAAAGAAGATTAATTATTCCTACCATGTCCAGGGCTATTTCATACATTTTCATTAGAGACATTTTGCTGTGTTAAGTTTCCATTTTTTCCTGCTTCTTACATTCTAGCATTTTCCACTGTTTATTATTTAGGGAAAAGTTTTTTCTAAGTTTAACCAGGTACTACTGCTTATTTAACTGACAAGTACCGGTAGAAAACATAATAGAAACATAACAGGGTGATTACCAAAGAGTTACACAAGCATAATTTTGGCATGACTCTTCAAAACATAAAAAATGGAGTAGATGCTGCTCCTAATTATCAAAAGGGGGTCATGCTCCTTTGTTATTTATGAGGGATCAGGTCAATATTTCTCTGGAGTTAGACGGAATATGGCTACTGATTTATATAAAATCTTGATTAACACTACGCTCATTGAATCTAACTACAAAACGCTTCTTCGTTGGTATTTAGTCCCTACACGTCTTGCTAAAATGTACCCATTCATGTCACCCATCTGTTTTCAACATTGTGGACAGGAGGGTACTATGCTTCACATATGGTGGAAATGCCCTGTGGTGACTAGGTTTTGGATCGGTTTATTTAATTTCCTTTACTCGGTAATTGGAGTTAATATTCGTAGATCCCCTGAAGTGGCCCTATTTCAACTATTGCCCACTGATATTCTCAAGAAATCGGTTGAATTGATTTTTTTATATCCTGTTGGCGGTGAGAGTTACAACAGCCAAACACTAGAAACTGTCAGCAATATCGCTGGATTTAGTCAAACATAAACTTAATTGGATTATGCTTAATGATAAACTTACTAGTATACTTAATAACAATACCTTAAAATTTGAGAGCACTTGGGATCCGTGGATTCAATATATTTCTGTTACTTAACAGATTCTTGGCTGGCCCTCTCTCTTATTTATTTTCATTATTCTATTCTTTACGTTTCTTCTCTCAGTTCTTTTTACACTTTCCGTTCTTTTTACTCCTGCCTACTATGTCAATGATATTATTTGTACCACTCCTTTTTTGGTGCAATTTGTTGATAATCGATCAAAATCTGAATGTGCTACCAGTGTGCTCTTCTCATTACACATTATTGGTCGATTTTGTTGTGTTGCTATACACAATGTGCGTGAATACATTGTTTCATTGCTTGATGTTCTACAACTCATCTTGTTGGTGGGTTGCGTTTTCTGTCTTTTTATGTACTGTTTCTAAAAATCCTAATAAACATATTGAAATATGAGGGATCAGGTCTATGGGAAGCACAACACAGAAAATGAGAGCTGCATGCGCCAATATCTCTGCCCCCACCACCCTCCGTCGAGTGGAAGGGAGAAGAGGGTTGTTAACCCTGCAGGCTCTGCATGTGTAGTGTAATCAATGCACTGGCAAAGAGAGTGATATGTGCCATCTGATGACAGCTTACATCCCATACCACAAGTCACATCTGATGGGAATATGCAGCTTTTTTCTGTATAGAAAACTGCAGCATTCCCTCTGTTAGGTGCAGCCCCTGCATCTAGTTTCTTAGGTGAACCTTTACCTTGTAAAACAACCCATTCGATTTAAAAATAATTATGTAAGGCAAAATGTGTGTGTATGTGTATATATAGTGTATGTATATATATATATATATATATATATACACCGTATTTTGCGGCGTATAAGACGACTTTTTACTTAAAAAAATACCCCAACAATTGGGGGTCGTCTTATATGTGCTGGATGTGCGGTAATACTGTATGGTAGCTTCAACTACATACAGTGTACCGCGCTGAGCCAATCACGGCGAGCGATGTATTCTATTAATGAATACAGAGCCTGCTCGGATTGCTGAAGTTGTGACATCATCAGCCCGCCTCTCTGACACAGCCAATCTGAGCAGGCTCTGTATTCATTAATAGAATACATCACTTGCCGTGATTGGCTCATATGACGTCCTCCCACTCTCCGCGCATGTTCGGCGATGCGCTGTGTCCCAGCTATCACCGATCACGGAAAGAGCCGAAGATGTCGGCTCGGTCATGTGATCAGCTGTGTCCAATCACAGCTGATCACATGTAAACAGGGAAATACCGGTTATTGGCATTTCTCTCCTCTCGAGCTGTCACGCTGACAGCTCGAGAGGAGAGGAGAGCCGGTAATCAGCTTTCCGCGGAGGGGATATGTACACTGATCATCAGGGCACTGATGATCAGTGTGCCCTGATGATCAGTGTAGCCCCAGCAGTGCCAGCTGTCAGTGTCCATCAGTGCCACATCAATGCCACATATCAGTGCCCATCTAAGCTGCCTTTCAGTGTCATCCATCAGTGCCAGTCAGTGCCACCTATCAGTGCTGCCAATCAGTGCCACCTATTAGTGCCAGTCAGTGCCACCTATCAGTGCCATGTATCAGTGCTGCCTTTCAGTGCCCATCAGTGATTCCTGTCAATGCCCATCAGTGCCACCTACCAGTGCCTCCTCATCAGTGCCCATCAGTGGCACCTATTTCATATAGGTACAGTGTTGCATGACCGCGCAATTGTCATTCAAAGTGTGACAGCACTGAAAGCTGAAAATTGGCCTGGGGAGGAAGTGGGTATAAGTGCCCTGTAGGCTAGGGGTGTTGCCTCAGAAGGGGGGTAGTCTTATACGACGAGTATAGCCCAAAACCTATGTTTTAACTGGAAAATTAGGGGGTCGTCTTATACACCCAGTCGCCTTATACACCGGAAAATACGGTATATATATATATATATATATATATATATATATATATATATATATAATTTTTTTTTTTTCTTTTTGCTAGTACCTAGTTGGACCCCCTTTTGCCTTCAGAACTGCCTTAATTCTGGCATAGATTGAACAAGGTATTGGAAACATTCCTCAGAGATTTTGGTCCATACTGACATGATAATATCACGCAGTTGCTGCAGATTTGTCAGCTGCACATCCATGATGCGCATCCTGAAGGTACTTTATTGGATTGAGATCTGGTGACTGTGGAGGCCATTGGACTACAGTGAACTCATGTCATGTTCGAGAAACCAGTTTGAGATGATTTGAGCTTTGTGACATGGGGCATTATCCTGCTGGAAGTAGCCTTTAGAAGATGAGTACACTGTAGTCATAAAGGGATGGACATGGTCAGGAACAATATTCAGGTACTGGCTCTGTGGAAGAGGCTAAGCCTCGAAACATGTCAGCCATTTGGAGGTCTACAAATTCCAACACAGATATTATCCAGTTTGATTGGACCTTGGTGTACTTCACATGATGTGCCTTTTGATATTTTATCCTTTGTGAGTATATCACCACCTTTTATACAATAAATGAATTTTAGGTAATGCACAAGGCCAGTGCACCCTCTTTTTTGTTTCTTTGCATGCAGTTCATTTGGATTCCCCTGGTCTGGTGAGGGCAGCAAGGCGTGCATCCTCTAGGTATCCTATGTGTAGTTATAGTTGCTGTGGAGTCTATCGTCCAGCGCAGGAGTAGAAACTTAAGCTATTCTTTGTCAGATGTGTGATGACTGCTGGGGAAATAATCAGTGGGGACTCTAGGAACAATATATAGGGGGGGGGGGGCGCTTAAGGTACCCCAGTCAAAAGTGGAGGGGCACTAATAATTTTCACCACTATATTATATCACTGAAAAAACTAAATAAGTATATATAAATAAGATTACAAAATGTGAGAGTAATGCGGTATAACTTTTTATTGTACTAACCGAACACTTAAAAGACAAGCTTTCCAGAGTTTTCCTTTCTTCCTCTGGTATTGCTTTAGACCTGAGAAACAGAAGAAAACTGCAGACATACTACAAGAGATGGTCAGAGACTGCAGACATTCTACAGGAGATGGTCAGAGACTGCAGACATTCTACAGGAGATGGTCATAGACTGCAGACATTCTACAGGGTCATAGACTGCAGACATTCTACAGGAGATGGTCATAGACTGCAGACATTCTACAGGAGATGGTCATAGACTGCAGACATTCTACAGGAGATGGTCATAGACTGCAGACATTCTACAGGAGATGGTCATAGACTGCAGACATTCTACAGGAGATGGTCATAGACTGCAGACATTCTACAGGAGATGGTCATAGACTGCAGACATTCTACAGGAGATGGTCATAGACTGCAGACATTCTACAGGAGATGGTCATAGACTGCAGACATTCTACAGGAGATGGTCATAGACTGCAGACATTCTACAGGAGATGGTCATAGACTGCAGGCCTACTAAAGGAGATGATCAGAGACTGCAGACATTCTACAGGAGATGGTCAGAGACTGCAGGCCTATTAAAGGAGATGGTCAGAGATTGCAGGCCTACCAAAGGAGATGGTCAGAGACTGCAGGCATACTACGGGAGATGGTCAGATTACAAAGTGCGAGAGTAATGCGGTATACCTTTTTATCGTACTAACCTAACACTTAAAAGACAAACTTTCCAGAGTTTTCCTTTCTTCCTCCGGTATTGCTTTAGACCTGAGAAACAGAGGAAAACTGCAAGCATACTACAGGAGATGGTTAGAGACTGCAGACATGATGCAGGAGATGGTCAGAGACTGCAGTCATACTACAAGAGAGGGACAGAGACTGCAGGCATACTACAGGAGATGGTCAGAGACTGCAAGCATATTACAGGAGATGGTCAGAGACTGCAGGCATACTACAGGAGATGGTCAGAGACTGCAGGCTTACTACAGGAGATGGTCAGAGACTGCAGACATGATACAGGAGATAGTCAGAGACTGCAGGCATAATACAGGAAAAGACTATACAGTGTCACTACTGCTAGGCGACTGGCGGGGCTCAGCTGTCTACAACCAGTAGTGCCGGCCCTCATGTGCATGAGCCCATCAGCCCCATAATGTAACCAGCACTGGGTCCTAATGTGCTGCTGCCGCTGCCATGGCAGCAAAGATGTGAGACCGGCTCTGTCAATAGCAGGGCAGGACCATAAGAGCAAGCTGTCATGCCAGGACCCGGTTGCAAGTGCGACCCTGGTAGTTCTATCATTGTCTAGTGGGAGGATTCCCCCATCCACCTTGAATATGTAGATAGGCGATCATATTTTTTTTTTGTTCAACCCAATAGTTGAACAGAAAAGAGTGATCAATGTATGGCTGCTTAAGTGCTAACTGGAAGTGAGAAAGTTTGTAGAGCTCTTGGAGGGTGACAGATGGGGGAGAGAAGGGAGGGAGATGGGAACAAATCAGTGATCACAGTGTGCTGCGGTGTTCAGTGTTCCTTCATCCCAGGGCTGCGGCTGTTATAGGATGGCTCAGGCAGCAGCAGCATTCATATTTCCCACCCTCACATTTCCTTTCTGTCAGATACAGCTGCACGTTGGGGATAGGAGAGTGGGTAGGCCAGGCAGACGCAGAAGAAACAAGGACTAGGCAGGAGGAGGAGCAGGTTGTATTCCTCTCTCCTCTCCCGTCCATAGTCTCGCCACTTGGGGGGGGGGGGGGCCATGGGAGGCAAGGAATAACCTAGGAAGGGCAATTGCCCCGCTATAGTGACACTACTGGAAATAATTAAGAGGCAACAAAAGAGGTAAAGAAAACACAGAACTAAGAAAAAGACTAAAGCAGAAGCAGGGAGATCTCTGCACTGCAAGTCCTTGGGTACAGCTGGATATCATAGTAATGACATCACTGAATATCAATCTATCAATCTATATTTCAATGCTTTTAATGAAGGTTTTCATCAATACAGAATAGTTGTGCCATATATAATGAAAGTACAGAGTAAACAGAAAATATATATGGAGAAATAAAAAAACAGAAACGAACACATCCCATTTATAGGGAAAGTGGTGCATTATACCGATATTAATAACAACTTTGTGGTTAGAAAATGTACCTTGGGGGCAGGACCGGATCTGAGCTGCAGCGGACATGTCCGAGAGGAGCTTCAGTCATCCTAATCTAATCCGTTGATATCTGGGCATTACCAAGCCGGTGAGCACCCCTGTTCTCCTCTGCCCCTACCCTCTCTCTCCAAACTTGCTTCTGATGCCATCTAGGAGCTGCTCCGCTAAACAGACTACTCCATCTCGGCAATCCCCAGCTCCGACCACACGGCCGAACGCCATCTTGGTCGAGCTGCTTCAGGTCTTGCTGGCAGAGATGGATGCAGACCCCAGGGATTCTTCCACAGTGTCAGCCCCAGCTCCAGCTCCTGCTCTGCAACCCCGATGCACATCAGTGATCCTGGCTGTTTATAGAACACAGTAAAACCTCACTCCTGGTGTGCATTGATTGACTCGCAGAGGAGTGTAATTTAACCACTTGAGCTCCTGAGGATTTACCCCCCCTTAATGACCAGCCTCTTTTTGCTACTCGGCGCTGCACTAATTCAACTGATAATTGTGCGGTCATGCAATGCTGCACCTAAACTAAATTTACGTCTTTTTTTCACACAAATAGAGCTTTTTTTTGGTGGTATTTGATCATCTGTGCGCTTTTTATTTTTCACGCTATAAACAAAAAAAGAACAAATATTTTGAAGAAAAATGATATTTTTTAATTTCAGCTATAAAAAATATATAGTAAACTCAAAGTTAGGTATAAATTTAGACCAAAATGTATTCTGCTACATGTTTTTGGTAAAAAAATCCCAATAAGTGTATATTGATTGCTTTGTGTGAAAGTTATAGCGTCTACAAACTATGGTATAGATACTGCAATTTACGACTTTTTTTGCTATACAGCGCTGCGCTAGTTTAACGGACAATTGCGCGGTCATGCAATACGGTACATAAATTAAATTTATGTCCTTTTTTTAACACAAATAGAGCATTCTTTTGGTGGTATTTGATCACCTGTGCACTTTTTATTTTTGGCGCTATAACCAGAAAAGGTTTTGAAGCAAAAAAAATTTTTTTTATATTTTCTCATTTTGGTCATAAAAAATATCTAAAAAAACAAAAATTTCGTTATAAATTTAGGCCAAAATGTATTCTGCTACATGTTTTTGGTTAAAAAAAATCTCAATAATTGTGTATATTGATTGCTTTTTGTGAAAGTTATAGCGTCTACAAACTATGGTATAGATAATGGCATTTACATAGCTTTTACTTTCTGACTGCCCATCACATGGTGCTAAAATACCAGGATAGTACAAACACCCTCAAATGACCCCTTTTCGGAAATTAGACACCCTAAGCTAACTGCTGAGAGGCATATTGAGTCCATGGAAGATTTATTTTTTTCCCACAAGTTTCTGGAAAATGACAAAAACTTTTTTTTTTTTTTTCACAAAGTTTATCATTTAAATAATTTATTTCTCGCACAAGCCATGGGTATATGTGGAATTAGACCCCAAAATACATTCTGCTACTTCTACCGAGTATGGGGATACCACATGTGTGAGACTTTTTGGGAGCCTAGCCACATACAGGAGCTAATCCAATGACCACTTTGAA